ATAGCTTGTCTTTCATGATTTAGAAAATAAACTCCAAGAACGAGCATATTTATAAGCTCAGCTATGAAGTATTTCATGGAATTCTGGACAACCAAATAGCTGCCAGCTGCCAGGACAATCCAGGAAAAAACACTTGTAAACAGTGGTGCTGAGACAGTGCCTGAGGACATGAGATTAAAATGGCTCCATTTGCTTTCCTTGACTAAGCACAGAAAGAAATGGAGATCATAGTAAATACATAAGCTAGAAAGGAACTAAGGGAAGTGATAGAAATTGCTTAGACAGGTTCATGGAATGGAATCGCATTAGCAGGGAATATTCAGTTCAAAGGACGAAATATTTCCTGGTATTGACAGCAAGCAGGTAGCTATGGAACAATCTTTTTTTTTTTTCAGTCTAGTGCAAAATACCATTGACAAAGTCACTTGAAATTGATTGACTGAAACACTTAAGAGAAGCAAAAGAGGGTGAAACATTAACTTTGGCAGGGCAGAGGGCTAGCAAGGCATTTCTCATTTCTACTTTTGGCATCCACTGAGTCACCTGACCAGCTCACCCATGACTGGCCAGTTTAAATACTATGAATGGAGTCCCCAAACACTGAGGTCAGAGTACAATGAACCAAGCTTCTACACCTAGTTTTAAATTATTTTCTCCCTTCCCCCTCAAATGCAGGGAGGCAATAAAATATCATACATCTGCAATAACCAGTTTTTAAAAATATTCAAACCATAAAAAAATAATTAGAAGTTTTTGTTTCCTAAAATGGTTCTAATAAACTAGGGAAAAGCACATGTTATTTTTGGAGGAAGGAAAGTTTGAGCATATTTCTTCCTGAAATGATACTTTTTTTTTCTGACCATAAATGTAGTGTATGTAATGCCATTAGAGTTGGTGCTATAAATTCATGCTTTGATGCATCTGTGTTTTTCACAAAACAGAACAAAGACTGATAAAGTACAGAAAGAGAACATCAGAATGACATCTAGAGGTTAAAAAGAAGAGAAAGGAGAAGGGGAGAGAAGGGGAAAAAAAGAAAGCTCTCTGAGGCACAAGCCTAGAGACAGGCCTGCTGTGCTCCAGGTCCAGAAAAAGGCAGGCAGCGAGGGCTGGAACTTCAGCTCCTGCCAGTGTCTGGGGTCTCAGAGTGTTGCTCTGGGACAGATTGCTCCGCCTCACCTCCAGAAACTGAACCAGGCCACCTCAGGTTTAGGGTAATATTACCACATAGCAGGAGACCCAATCTTGACTAAGGACCAAGGAACTGTGCAAACTGTCAGGGAGGAAGAGGACAGGAAAGAATGAAAGAAAACAAAGGCATGAACAAATGAACAAGAACACTTTCCCATGAAAATAAGCTGCAATGCAAATTAAAACACATGCACAATTAATATAGATAATAGGCTACAGAATTGGACAAAATGATATCAATAAATCTCAGGCTGATGATTTGAATACCCCTCTATCAGAGAATGATAGATGAAAGACAAAAATACTAAGAATATTAATGATTTGAACAGCATCATTTTGTTCTTTACTAACAGGTCATGGGAAGTCCATGGGAAAAGCCCTTTTTGGAAAACACTTTCCTCCCTGAGAAAAAGAAAGACATGTGGAAAGAAGTTTCCCTTCCTTCTTCTCCTGACACACAGTCAGTCATCAGATGGCATGTTGCCTGGAGCTGTGCCAGCCTCCTGAATGATGACAGTCAAAGCCAATCGCTGATGGCAGCCCACCAAGACGAATGCAGGAAAGCTCACGGAGCCCAGGTTCTTGATTATATCACCTGGCTGCTGCACAATCCCCAGGATTGCCTCCTGCAGACTTCTTGTTATATAAGACACAAATCTTACTGTTTAAGCCATTTCTCTTGTATATTCTATTACTTGCCAACATCTCCTAAATTGGATCTATAAATCAAAGCATTTTCAATCAAAATCTCTACAGAGTTTTTCATGGAAATTAAACGTTACTCTTAAAATATATATGCAAGAGCAGCAAGTCAAAAATAGCCAAGTTCATTTTAAAGGAGAACAACACTGGGGACTTGCCCTAACAGACACCAAGAGTATTATAAAATTACAGAAATTCAGACAGTGTAATGCTGGTGCTAAAACAGCCCAAGAGATCAATGGGGCAAACTAGAAAGCTCAGAACCAGGCTCAGGTGTACACAGCAACCATACAACATAGAACTGGCACTACAGAGTGGGGGGAAACAGCTGAGGCAATGGTTTCATACAAACACACACACATACCTACAGCTTTACACCATACAAAAAGTAAATATTCTATATGGACATAAAAAACCATAAATACCAGATGGGTTAAAGAATGTATAAGAGAAAGTCATTTTAACATGGAGGTAAAGCTGTTAAAGAAAACATAAAGTACAAATCAAAAAGGAATATTGATAAATTTAACACATTAAAATTAAAATATTGCATGCAACCCGGATCCCTGTGGGGGAAGGCAGTCCACGTGGGCCCTGAGCGCGCTGTCCTCCTGTGTCTGCCGGAACGGCACAGCCTCGACCTCTCCCCATCCGGGTCCCTGCACAGGTTGTGTTTGCCGTGAGCAAACTTGGAGACAACGTAATGTCTCACTCCAAACAGCAGGCTTGATACCCCTCAGTGGAAAAGGGATGGATTCTCCAAGCATAATGTTCCTTTTTTAAAATTGCATGTACAGGCATCTGATGCCCCTATGGCACTTTGGGGGACATTGTGAGCCAAGACAATTGTAATGGTTTATAATATAAGGTTTACATTTGTTTCTAAAAGTATATGAGACACCATTTTTAGCCTTGGTTCTACATTTAGACCCATTCAATATTCAATACTAGCCTTATTACCATGTCTTTACCCATGCCTTCTCTGTCACTTGCTTGGCTGGATATCAAGCACTTGTATTTTTCAGGAAGGACAGTTTGGAACTATATTTCCTGACCTCTTTCTTGATCATTTAAAAATTCCTATCTATGGCTTATATAACTGAATATAAATTTGACTGGATTTAAAATCATGGGGTGATGTTTTTTCCCTGAGGACTTTGTAGTTATTGCTACATTTTCTCCTAGCCCTGGAGAATGGTATAGGGAAGTCTAACATGGAATAAATTCCTTCCAATAGGTGACTTGATTCTTTTGCCTGGATGCCTATAGAATGTTTTGATTATCTTTGAAGTCCTTTAATACTGAATGTGTTTCAGTACTAAGCAGTCAGCACCAACTTTTCCAGAAACAATGTTATTTCAGTCCATAAATTTGAAATTGCCTTTATTTCAGTACAATGTCTTTGTGTTGTAATTTTGAATGTTTTGCCTGTTCCATCTGTCATGTTCTCCTCAGAGATACCAGTTATCTTTATTTTGGACTTTCTATATTCTGACTCCATTTTTTATCATTCTCTCTTAACTTTTTATACCATATTCTTCATACCATATTCTTCATATAATATTTTAGAGTTGTCTTTTCTTCTTTTATGATGTTTTTAATGTAATATTTATGGTTACCTGGGCCCTCGGCCACTTGCCCTCACAGGGACCTGGGAGTGACTCAGGGAATCCCAGCAACTGCCCCTTCTCGCCTTTGCCTTTGCCTTTATGGTGAGAGCTCGCAGCCTGCCAGACACCAAGGAGCACCCCCACCCTTTCAGGGGTTTTAGAGTCAGGTGGTGGGGGAGACTCTAACAAGTCATTCCACTTTCTGAGCATTACATCCTCATCTACAAAATGAGGATGATAGTAATAATACCAATCTAATAAGGATTCAGTGAGGATTAAATGGACTCAAGTGCTTCACAAAGCCAACCGGAAACATGCCATAAGTGGTGTGTGTGTGTGTGTGTGTGTGTGTGTGTTCTGCCAAGGCCTACACAGTTACAGGATACTTGGAAGACCATTGTTGGTTTAAACCATACCTGCTGAAATAGAAAAATAACCTCAAGCTCTGCTAAAATATGGAGAAACACTTCTAAGCACTTTAAACATATATAGATTTTCTAAAAACTTAATGCGTAAGTTTTACAATACTTATTATATCTCCAAAATTTACCCTAAGGTTCTTATTCTTTGAGAAACACAAACTAAAAAGAAAAGACAATAACCTTTTCTAGGTAAAGCACAGTAAAATATTCTCTGAGGTATAAAAACAGCATTTAATTGCTAGACAATTCTTGGTCTTTGAAGAAAGTTCACAGTAAAAATATCAAATTGTCACTGAGGGTTGGTTTAGACATTTAACTTTCAGGAAGGTATATTGATGATAATCATTATTTTCAACACTGTTGTGTATTTACCCAGCAGATTTCCCCCAAAAAGCCCAAGGGTTAACAGAACCTGGAAGCTGAGAGGAGGCAGGTGTAAGTCCTTAAACTAGCAGCTTGACGCTTGCCTTTGGAGTAACAGGAACCCCCGCAGTGAAGAAGAAATGAGCTTCCTCCACCTGCCTGGGTGCTCTATGCACTTCAGATGCAACAAGGCAAACCTCTGACGCACAGCCCAGCCTCAGCTCAGGTAGTGACCTGAGCTCTCAGCTCAGGTACAAATGTGCAGGCTCCAAGAACCACTGCGCTGCTTCTCCAGTGTTAGTTTGCTGGCTCCTCCCAGCAAGCGGGCTATCGAGCGTTGTCTAGACTGAGAGCCTGACTGGGAGAACATGATGGAAGGCTGGCTCCTGAGCTTGTCTTCTATTCAGCTCTGAGATATTGGGCCAACCATTTAATCCCTTAGTTTCCTCATCTGTAAGTACACGGGACTGAGATAGATCTCTAAGGTCCCTATCAGCGTAAGAGTCTATGTTTCTAAGGTGACAGCAAAACAAGACTGAATATACATGTAAAAAATTAAAAACTTCAATCATATAAAAACTCACCCGATGATTAGAAGAGTCATGAAAAGAGTGGTTCAAGTCACAATTTCACAAACCTAATTACAAATAAACTGATCTTTATTCCATTAACTCAGTCTCCAACTCTACATGACAGAGAAAAGAGGACTTACTGGGGATTCAATGTCCTCCAGGAGTAACACAGAACAGCGCTCACATTTCAGCAGGGTTTGAGCCCGATGCATTATCTTCCTGACGATTTTCTCCAGGTCCGTCTGCTCTTCAAAGAGGTCATTAACCACCTCTAGCAAAGCCTGGGAAATGTGAAATGAATGTATTTAGGTAGATAGAGGACTGAATAAAAATACTGGGTTTTTTTCCTCTCAAAATTCCATTTAGTCTTTGCAATAATAAAATATAAATACTTTTGTATGGCTAATTTTGAAAGCATTTATGACTATTTTGACATATGCATACTTCCGTAATTTTGTTTAATAACAGGGTCTTGAACTGCAAAACACAACTAGAGAACAGTTCCAGTCCATATAGTCCCATATAATTCCTGCATACAACTGTGTGTGTGTGTGTGTATACATACATATATACTCATAAATGAATGATTCTATCCCATATAGCTAATGACTACATGACCCAGATAGTCATTAATCATAGGCTTCTCCCCCACCCCCACACAGTTTTTCTGCAATGCAACTAGGAATAAACCCAACATTTTATAAGTAATGAATACCTGATTCTCTCATTTATTTCAGAAAATTACAAAGCAGCTCTTCCTCACCATCAGGAAGAAATAGTTTCATGGTCAAACTTAAGACTCATTTTCACTAATACACATTTCTCACTGAAGTCTGAAAGAATTATAGTGGTGAATGCTAATTAAGTTCCAGAGTCTTCTAAAAAATATATATGACCCCCCCATTAATCCTTCTGCACAAGAAGTATTGCTTCATTGCAATCTGTCCAGAAAAACATTCAAATACTATTATATATCTCAGAAAAGAAAACACCATTAAAACAGCAGAAAAAAAAGCCCTGGCTGGTGTAGCTCGGTGGATTGAGCACGGGCTGGGAACCAAAGTGTCCCAGGTTCGATTCCCAGCCAGAGTACATGCCTGGGTTGCAGGCCATAACCCCCAGCAACCGCACATTGATGTTTCTCTCTCTCTCTCTCTCTATCTCCCTCCCTTCCCTCTCTAAAAATAAATAAATAAAATCTAAAAAAAAACAGCAGAAAAAAAAAGAAAAAAACAAGTTCTTACTTAAAAACTATGTATTCTTTTGAAAAGCAAATTGTAATTACCTATTATTTTATCCAGCTATTAGCCTGCAGTCTTTGCATTGAAATAATATTTATTTGCAGTTTTTCATTACATGGATATTTCCAGAAATTTAAGAATAGTGGGCTATGTACAGGTGGTAGATATTATGCTGCTATCAAATAGCAATCAGAAAATTACACAGCCAGTGAGTTGGCCAGAGGATGCTTCATTCAATAGAATTTAATAAGATGTGCACTCTGAAGTCTGATACCTCACAAAAGCATGTCATGGGTTTTCAAACTCGCATCTATTCAGGGAGATGGAGTTGATCATCATCCCAGGGACATGGCTAATTTCAACTTCAGCAATGAATTTGATTTGTCCTGGAACCATTTGAAAATTTCTTCTCTGAGTTTAATCAGGTAGAAAAGAATTTGAAAGAGTTAATGGCCCTATGAAATGAGTGGTTCACTGAGCATCTAAAAGAGGACCAAATACCCTGGGTAGGGTTTTCTCTAAAGAGAGCTGTGAAAATGGCTAAGGATCATTCTATGACCCCAAAGTAAACAGAAACACCAGGAGGCGAAAGAAGTTTTAAGTGCTTCCTGACAATCTGGCTTTGGGACAGCAAATCATTGTAGAGGTCAGTGTGCAATAATTTCATATTCAAATATAACATCAAAGATGTGGCAATTGCCTGAATAATTACCAATAAAATCCCCTGTTATTAAGGGGAAACATTATTTCTGTAATCATCTAGGCTATTTCTCCAGATGGATCATATTAACTGAACAATTATTTAACTTTGCAATTTGCTGTGACTGTGTGGATAGGGCCTCTGGGACCCACACAGAAGAACATTTATCTCAAAGGAAAAACTCATTCTGCCTCGAGTCTTCCACTGACAAATCACATTATAGTAACTTTATTGTTTCTAATTAAAAATTGCTGCTGTACTAACAAGTAATAAGAGTTTTTCAAATAACGATGCGCTCGACCTCCAGAATAGGAGAAAAAGAGAAGAAAATCCGGATGATACGCAATTCACCAGACCCCGGAAGCCTTTCACACAGCTGAACACTCCCTGCTTCCTGACTTCGCATGCATTTCCGTTCCTTCTTCCAGTGAGTTTCTCGGCTCCGGGCCTCATCCTTGGATCTCTTCCCTTCTCTTATCCACGTGTTGTCCCCCAGATCAACCCACCTGATAGTCTAGTTTTAAATATCATCTCTACACTGATGGTTCCTAAATATTAATCTTGAATCCTGATCTCCCAAAAATTTAGATTACTTAACTGTTTTCATGTAGTCACCATGCTGAATATTATGCCCCCAGAATTTATTCATCTTGCAATTGAAAATGTTTACACTTTGACTAGAATATCTCCATTTGCCCCACACCCGGGGCCTGGCAACCATCATTCTACTCTCTGTTTCTATGAGTTCTGCTTTTCATAGGTCCAACATGTAAGTGAGATCATACAGTATTTTTCTTTCTCTGTCTGACCTATTTCACTTAGCACAGTGCCCTTAAGGTCCATCCATGTTGTCCCAAGTGGCAGCATTTCCTTCTTTTTTATGGCTGGATAATATTCTGTTGTGTATATAATATATAATTTATGTACTCATCCATCAGTGGACATTTAGGCTACTGTAAATAATGCTGCAAAGAACATGGGGAAGCAGATATCTCTGAAAGATAATGATGTCATTTCCTTTGGATATACACCCAGCAGTGGGGTTGCTGGATTATATGGAAGTTCAATTTTTAACTGGAAGGAACCTCCATACTGCTTTCTGTGGTGGCTCTACCAATTTGTATTCTCACAAATGGTGCACAGGATTCCATTTTCTCCACATTCTCACTCACTTATTATCTCCTACCTTCTTGATAAAATTCATTCTAATAGGTGTGAGGTGGTTATTGTTGTGGTTTTGACTGCCATTTTCCTAATAATTACTGATGATGAGCATCATTTCATGTACCAGTTGGCCATTATATGTCTTCATTGTGGGGGGAAATGTCTATTTAGATATTCTGCCCATTTTTTCAATTGGATTATTTGGGAGTTTTGCTATTGAATTGTATATTTTGGATATAATCCTATATCTAATATATGTGGTTTATAATATTTTTCCCATTCCATAGGTTGCCTTTTAATTTTGTTGATTATTTCTTTTGCTGTGCAGAGGTTTTTAAGCTTGGGATTAGCTTCACTTGTTTATTCTTGCTTTTGGTTGCTTGTGCTTTTGTGTCAGATAAAAAAAAAATCACTGGAGATTTTTCCCCTATGTTTTCTTCCAGGAGTTTTACAGTTTCAGGTATTATATTTAAGTCTTTTGTCCATTTCAAATTAACTTTTGTGATTGGTATAATAAGGGTCCAACTTCATTCTTTTGCTTTTGAATATCCAGTTTTCTCAACTGTGACCATTTACTGAAAAAATTATCTTTTTTCTATTAAGTATTCTTGCCTCCCTTGTCAAATATATGTTGACTATATATGCATGGATTTATTTCTGGGCTTTAGATTCTATTCCACTGGTCTAGGTATCTGTTTTTGATGCCAGCACCATACTGTTTTTATTATTATAGTATAGTTTGAAATTAAGAAGTGTGATTGTCCCAGCTCTGTTCTTTTTCAGAATTGCTTTGACTATCTGAGATTTTTCCTCTTCTCTCTCTAGACACACAGATCAAGTGTTCCCTTGTGCCAGGGCCTTTGCATTTAATATTTCTAGTGCCCGCAAAGCTCCTCTTAGATTTTTGTGCGGCTTTGCTCCTTCATTTAATCCAGGTCCCCACTTAAATATTACCTCCTTATACAGACCTTCTTAATCACTCTCCGAAATAAGCATCCTCCCAAACTATTCTTCAACAAAAAGTCTCTATCCCTTTAACTCACTTAATTTTCCTTATAGCACTTATCACAACCTATACTACGTTATTTTTTGTTTGCCTCTTTTATCTTTTGTTCCCACTAGAATAGCAAGCTCTCTGGGGGCAAGGACTTTGAATAGATAGTGTCTGAATAAATATTTGTTGAATGAGTGAATGAATTGTGCCATACATGAAAATGTAAAGATTAATAATACATGAAGTGTCTCTTAAGGAGTTCATAATGTGGTCAGAGAGGAGGCCCATTGGTATTATACAGTGTGATAAGTATCCATAATAGAACAATGGCAATACATACAAGGAAAAACAATAAACGAAGAAGGGATGATTAAATAGAAGTCTGAGCTGGAAGTCCTGAAGGAAATTCAAGGCAAATTATACTGAGAGTCAAAGGTAGACATGAGGCATGGCGGGTAGAGGGAGAAATACAGGTAAAGATAAGAGAAAATGAAAAAAAAATATTGCTTTCTGGAAACTGGGTAATATATCACTGGAGTGCCAAATGAAAGGAGAGGAATGGTAAGACACGGGGCTAAAGATGGAAGCAGGACCCAAGTCAGAGAAAAGGCGTGGTGTGTGTGCTGAAGACAATGGCTGTAGAGTGAACTGCACTTGTTGTATGCTGGGAAGTGTTCATAAGTCATAATGCTTAGCAAGTGAAACTTTTAATCAGTTTGACTACCAATTACTTGAGGGTTCCAACCTTTTAGAACATCTTCTTGTTAAATATATTTCAAAGTTGTGACAGTAATTTCTCTACATTTAAAAGCATAGTAAGCCTAATAGAATTTAATCCCTATGTTATAATTTAGTATGTTTTGAGCATCTGTCTTTTTTTTTAATTATTTTTAGAGAGAAAGGAAGGAGGGAGAAGGAGAGGGAGAGAATCATCAATGTGTGAGAGAAACATCAACTGATTGCTTCCTGAACATCCTGGCTGGGGCCCTGGCCTGCAACCCAGGCATGTGCCCTGACTAGAAATTGAACCAGTGACCTTTTGGTTTGTAGGTTGATGCTCAATCCACTGAACCACAACAGCCAGAGCATTTTTTTAACTATTGAACTTGTGGAGGTAATGAGACCCATCCTTATGTGTGTGTTTCTTTGTAATCCTATAAAATAGTGTTTACATGTTATCCAGTTACTTTCTGATAGTCCTCCAGAAAACCTTTCAGTTCAAACACAAAATTTGTGAAGTAAAGTGAAATCATTTGTAACATACCTTGCTTCTTAACAGAATTGAATTGTAAAAATATTACGAAATTGTGTTGTCATTTCAAAGCTATGAGTAAGCAAGACTATATTTCTTGCCTTATAGTGTAAATGTGAAATTAATTTCCTCATTCAAAGAAGCTGGAATTATTCCCTCCAAACAACAACAGAGAATTTGTATCCACTTCCATTTGGACTCATTGCTTAAGGAGATCTCCAACCATAGACTTGAAGGATTATACAAACAAAAAAGGGTCCTGGACTATTCAAAGGTCATCTGCAGTTTTTAAGAGTCATAAAGACTCACAGACTCTAGAAAGACAGACTTTTGAGGCTTGGCAGCCATGTTTCTTTTCACTCACCCTGCTTCTCTCATATTCTTTCCTCGAGGCAGCAAATACCTGAGCATTAGATATGGCGATGCCACAAAACGGAAGATACATCTGCATAACCTGGGGACAAAGAGAGCATTAAGAATATTGAAACATCACGGAACCAAACTGCACATTTCCTGACTATACCTGATGGCAATACTTTCTTTCCACCACAGAAACTGAGTATGGAGTTGTTGATACTAGCAGCTTAATTGCTGCAGGGATATTTTCCAGTGTAAACTACCAGATGGTCTCAGTCGGGCATTAAGTAAAGACAGTCACATCTATGAAGACAGAAAGTGAAGCAACAGATTATGGTGGCTAAGATACAGGAGCTGGGTCCAAATCATCTTTGTATGTCTTCTTTGAACAATGAAAAATGAATAAATGAATAAACTCTGATATACCTAGAATTAAAGGCAAATGTCTGCACTCAAATTTTGAGGTAGACAGGATATAAATCAGTTTCTTTATATGTATGTACCTGTAGCAGGGATCTCAGCTTGGTCTACCACTGTCAGCTACAGATTTTAGTATGCCTGTTAGGATAGGCCCCGTATGATCTTAGGGGCTAGAGAACCTAGGAGCTCCATGCAAAAGAGCTCAAATTGTGTCCACCACTCTGCTGACATAAGTAGACATGGATGCAAATCAGTGATATGGTCCTACAAAAGTCTTTTTGAAAAATGGCTGGGGATTCTTTAAGACAGCACTCCTCCTATGGGAAGAAACAGGTATGATGGGCCTGATTCTAACAGATAATTTCTCATCACAGGCTGTATGTCTAGGGATTTCCAGTACTGCCTGGAACTCTCCATCATATTCAATTCCACAATCTCTAATTCCAGAGGAAGAGTGAATGCCACAGGTAAAAACATAAAGCTTTATTTCCCTAAATCTTCATAAAATGTGTCATTGCGACAAGTGACATATTGTTGGGACCTCTCTAAAGCAGAGGGATAAAGACATACTCTCTCTCTCTCTCTCTCTCTCTCTCTCTCTCTCTCTCTCACACACACACACACACACACACACACACACACACAGCACACTATGAAGTATGATGCCTGGCAAAGAGAAACAGCAGTTGCAAAACAGCAGTTTCTACTATACCCAAAAGACGGCAGTGCAGTACTCACAGTTGGGGGAGGGATGGGAGCAGCAGGAGCACACCTGCCCAGGGGCAGGCAGGCAGGAGGCACTCCTGGGTCACCCAGAAGAGAATTACCTGGAGTGAAAAGTGATTTGCAGAGGTCTCGAAGTGGAAAAAAGATGAAGGGAAATTCACATTCCTTATCATTTTTTCCTACTAAAGTCTTGCTTTGACTACCTGGACATACTTAACTCTGACCTGGGGTCCCTGAAAGTATTTCAGAATGTTGTAGAAGCTAATACTGTGGCCTCAATCTTAAAGAAGAGAGAAAAAACAGTGGGACTGCTATTAAATAGACGTATAAAATCAATGGTTTCATTTTTACAGGTCTTTTTCAGGATAAATTACTTCACTAAATTTTATTCAAAGTAAATGAATATTTAATGAGAACTTGCATATGCCAGATACCTTCACTTCATTTCTTCAGTTGAATTTCACATCAACTACTTGTGGAGGAACATTACATACATTTTTAACAGGTCAGGAAACTCAGTAACGTGCTCAGACTCACACAGGAACTGAGGTTTACCTAATTCTACAACTGATGATCGTTTCTACAACATGTTGCCTTCTAGAACTAGATGTTATTTCTGTGAGCCCCTGTTTTCCTTCCTTACTACTCCCCCTCATGTCTTAGAAAGTTTGTCAATAAGCCATTATAAAGCTGTTGGCATAAAACTGCAGATATTCTGCAGAACTCTATTGCCTGAGCCAGAATAGGACTGTTTTCAACATCCCCTACACACAGATAACACGTTCCTCACGGTTTTCTGTGTTTTTCCTCTGCAGTGGAAACATCAACTGTGATGGAGGTGGAGGTAAAGAGGAGATTATTTAAATTAACTTTCCACCCTTCCTTCCTTTCTGTGTTTATTTGCTTTCAGGAGCTAAATTTGAGGTGGTTTTTATAGGTCAAGCACATAGGAAGAAGAGAATGATCAAATAAACATGTGAAATGCTTTCTAATACATCAGTCTTGCTTCAGTTCATATCAATTTAATTCAATGTAATATCATTATTTATTGAGCTGCAAGCATTCAAAAGAATGTGAATTTTAAATCAGATGACCATTGTCCTTTATTTGGCTGTTCTGTGAGAAAGTCAACAAGCCACTTACAGTGTCTACACTTATTTCCTTAGCTGTAAAATTCCTGGTTTTACTGGATAATCTTTCTGGTCCTTTTGGTTCTAATATTTGGTGATTCTACAATTAGAAACATCAGCAAACTGGAATATTCTATTTGATAGAGAAAAATAATTCAGTAAGCATGCTCATATCTTATTCAAGATAATAATTTATAATACTAATTGATAAAGTTCTTGGATATGATGTTAAGCATTTTATGTGTACTATATCATTTGATCATTACAACTATGTATATTATACTATTTATTCCATTTTTCAGACAAGAAAGCTGAAGCTTTGTGAGCTTATCCAAAATTGTTCAAAGATAAATCTTCATGGGTCTATCACATTTCTGCACATCTTAAAAACAAAGGTATTGGCTCTATCTTTCAAGGGTGTTTGTAGAGTGAACAGCCTTGGAAAAAAGATAATGTCTTTTTGCAGGGCAAGAGCAGAATTACTATGTAGTATAAGTAAGGTAATATCACCAGCTGGAGAAGAGTTTAGGTAGGCTTATCATCCATTATAAAAGATTTGGGTTCCCTACATTTGAAGTTCCTCTCCTCCAACACATGCCTTGTGTAATCTGTATGATAATGTTACTGAAGATTTTATCTTAAGCTAGAACACCTGTTCACATATCATTAAGATTGTGATTTGTTTTCATCTGTCCTATATATATAAACACAACAAAGTTACTTAGTATTTATAATTGTAAGGTAAGCACCCCAGGAACAATTAGCACAATCCATGTTAAATTTCTCCTTTTTTACCTGAGCCAGTTCCTATTGATTTATTTTTTCATTTCATTGATGCTTCCCTCTACTATATTATATTTTTTATTTTAGTAATTAAGGTAGAAAAGTTATGTACACACTTAACAAAATCTAAATTTAACATCTTTAGCCTCCTTGTAAATAAGATAAGGACCTTGGAAAACTTTAACTCTCAACACTGTTCTTCTGGTATACATGTTACCTTTTTCTTTCTGTCTTGTATTATTACTACAAATTGGCCACTATTATTATTAGTCAATGCTTACTGATATTTACCCATGTACTTAACAATTTTTTTCTCTTCATTCATTACATTATCTTTTTCCTTTTTCTGGGATAGTTTTCTTACTTTTTAAAAACCATCTTTTAGAATATTCTTTAGCATCAATGGCAAATGGATTTGTTTTGTTTAATATAAAAATCTTTTTATTGTAAAATAATTTTAAAATATAATTTAGCTGGGTATACAATTTTAGGTGACAGCTATTTTTTCTCAGTAATTTGAAGATATTATTCCCTTATAATGTGCAGTTGATGCTGCTGAAATGTCATCTGTCAATCTAATTCTTTGTAGAGTTTCCATTGTAGTCTCTGGAGGACCTCTTTATGCCTTTGGTGGACAATTTATACTTTTCCAGTCTTAATCAAAAGCTTAATGAATCATATATATATATAGAGAGAGAGAGAGATACATATATAGTCCAGCACACACAATGCCACTTTTTTATTACAAAATCATGAGCATGTGATTCTGTTATGTAACAATATCATACTCAAGCACACCACACATTTCAGGGGAAATGTTCAATTCACTGTCCATCTCGTGTGAGACGTTCACACACCCTACCAACCACACTCAAGCAAGCCTTACTTATGCCGGACCCTGTGTGTGTGTATAAAACTGCATATGAAGACAGTATCATACCTTCATGACACATTGCAAACTGAGATGAGACCTTTATTTACAAAGCCAGTGATCTACACTGTGTCATTCATTGGCACAACCATTCAATACTCTGTGGCCAGATTTAACTCCATTATGAATATCCATATGACAATATAATCTATAGAATTTCTAAATCAATGTGCAGGATAAGCAAACAAATACATTTTGAAAGCAAAGAGTAAGAAGTTAAAGCAGTGGGAAAATAGAAGATAATAAAAATCAAAATATTTTAATATCTTTTTTCATTAGTGCAACAGATGTCTCAGTGCAACAGATGTCTTTAGAAAAAGATCTACTACTCTAGTATGCTTTTTCTGAAGTCCCCCACCTCCATAAAGAAACACTAATTGGCCTTTACCACCTAGTTTCTGAATGCCAAAAGGCTAAAAAGCCTTAATGACTAAGAAGCTAATGAGTCTGTACACCCCTGTGCAGCACTTTTCAGCTTGAAAGCACTTCATGAACATTGGCTAATTAATCTTTACAACATCCCACGCAGAAAGGGAGTTAAACCAAAGTCATTAAACAGTGTGAGAAAGTCACTTTAGCCCTGGAAACTCATGAAAAGTATCACTAATAAGCATAAAATGTGAGCACTGGGACTTTCCATCAATGTCCTAAAGAAAGACAGTAGGTACCAAGCCTTTGCAAACTTACACACCACAGAGAAGGCTATTAAAGCCCCACGATCTGGTCTGCTCCAATTATGTATCATTGAAGAACATGGCGTCTACACTAGAGATTCTCAGTAAGGGGCCTGGGACCACCCTCTTTACGGACCTCACTCCTGAAGGCAAAGCCCCCTGATGAGTCACATTGCTCTCAGCCAAATTAATGGGTGAGAGAAGGGTTTTCCCCACCATTATAAAACATATCCTTCCTCTGTGCAAATCCTGAGGTTTGGCTCTGGAGTCCCTTCTGCCCTCAGGCATTAACTGTTAGGCAAAGCTTTACTGATTCGGGCCCCATGGACTGGGACTGGTAATGCTTTAAGATAGTTGTAATTCAAATGCTAAATAAGTCTTCAAATAGAGTAATTTGGAAAATAAGTTATCAAAATATAGAAATAGTCACATT